CTTCTAATCATGTGGTTATTAAATAATTTTTTAAAAGATTTGAAATAGAAATACCAATCTGTCAAACACAAGATGATATTAAAGTAAATTTACCTTTCAGTCTTCGAGTCTCTAACTCTACAGTGACCAACAACTTTGGTCTTTTTGTGTCTCACACAGTAGCCCAGGCTGGCCTATAATTACAGCAAGTCTCCTACCTCAGCCTCCTGATTGCTGGGATTACAGGTGTGAGCCGCCACCCCCTGCTTCCTGTATTTTTAAGGAAACACAGCAGGAATTGTGTGAGACTCCAAGGTTTCCTTTGAGGCTAAAGAGAGGGACAAACGGCAGGTCACCTTTTGGGAGGGACCCACCTTTCCTCAACCCTTGTTGGCAGTGGGAATTACCAGCTCTAGGAGTTAGCTCTCTCTCTCTCTCTCTCTGTATATATATATGTGTGTGTGTGTGTGTGTGTGTGTGTGTATACATACATATATTTTTTTCTGTGTGTAGAGGTTGAAATCTTCTTTGGAAAGCTTTTGTGCCTAGTCGTAGAACTCCGCTTCATAAAGCACACGTTCACCAGCTTTTCTGACAAGCACAGAGTGCAAGCCACTGGATGACAGAGAACACAGACACTCCCTGACCAAAGATTGCAGCAGAGAATGGGGCAATATCAAGGGCAGGTGCCAAGGGTTGTGGGGCACTGTGGAGGAAAGGCTTCCTGGAGGAGGGACCAGGGCTCCTGCTTCCCAGCCCAAGTCATGTTGTGCTTAGAACCAACCAGGAGATCTTAAAAAGATCACCAGGAGACTCCCACTTGGTGCACATGCCTAGGTCCTGAGTAGAGAGACAGGACCTCTTGAAATCTTATGGCAACAGACAACTTCTTGACTTGCTGGCTTACCCAGTCCAAATGAAAGAAAAAGCCTATCTTCCCACACCCAACCCATGCCTGGCACCTAGGACATGCTCAGAGGGGCCCGTACAAGTGAGCAGTCAAAGGAGTCAATCTGTTTTAATCCCTGGAATCTTGTCGGCCCCCCTTTGGCCCGAACTCCACTGCTACCAGGAGACCATTGTGCACAGCCCCAAAATGGAAGGTTGGGGTGAGGAGAAAGACCGGGGGCGGGGCACCCTGGGCCATGATGAGTACAATGGGAGAAAAACCCCGGGAGGCTATGTCAGCGGACAGCTCATTTATTATGACAGAAGCAGAGGTCTATATAGGAAAGTTTCGTGGGCAATGAGGTAGGGTTGGGTTTCTGGCGGGCAGGCAGGTGGGAGTAGGGAGGGGGCTTCTAAGGGTACATGGCTTTTGTCCTGTCCTCTGATCACATGATCTACAAGCGACTCAGTTAGGATTAAAGGATTAGAGGCCTAATAGTTTTGCTTGGGGGTTGTTGGGTAAGAGACAGTGTATCTAGAATGGAGTGGGCCAGTTTCCGGCCATCCTCACTAGGATGTATCTGGCCTGGAAGCCATGTTCTACATTCCAGGCACTCCTGACTTATCCCAACATCTCCCCCTTTGTCTTTTATAAGGGGTGAGTGCCATCAAAATCAGAGAAGATACTAGGGATAGTTTGGTACTAGACCAGGATGCGGTTGGTGGTGATTTTAACGATGTCCTGTATGTGACCTTGGAAAAATTGAATTAGGGTGTCATGAGAAGCAGGGTACAGAAGGCTACCAGGGGGCCCAAGGAAAGGGTTGGAAAACCATGGAAAGAAAAATCCTCAGGGTAGATGAGTTGGTAATCTTGGCAGCTGCCTTGAGGAGGTGAATAGTGGGAAGAAGGAGAGAAAACCACGGGGCCAGGCAGGTTTAGAGCCTGCAGGGAGGTCAGACACCGGGCTGACTTGCAGCCACATGGCTGGGAGAAGGAAGCTTTAGAGAAAAAGTGAAGAACTACAAGATGCTAGGGGCAGTCCAAAGCCTTACAGAAAGCATGTTTAGTAAGAAAGGCCTAAGAAATTACTCATTCCTGAAGAGTTCAGGAAAGCAGACAGACTTAAGGAGACCTACATGAATGTGGCTGTTCTGAAAGTTGTGGGGGGGGGGTGTCAGGGGTCTGAGCTAGGTCCAGGCAGAAATATTTACTATCTAATTAACATACCAGGTGTTTTGCCCATCTATTTAGCATAACTTAAGGTGAACCTGTCTTCCTGAGAGTGGTTTTATCTCCAGGTAATTGACCAATGAGACTGGAAAAGTAGGTCCTCCAACAGATAGACTAGACAATTTTATAGTCTGGACCAGTTTAATTTATGGGGCTTATTGAAATTTTAACATTCCCCCCTCTGAAGAGGTAACCCTAAAATCTTTCAGGGATAAGAGCTCCCAAATACTTTTAACATTTTTGGCCTTTGGGAGAGAGTACTTTGCTAAAAGGCCCAAGGACATTTTGACTTTTAGCCAAGAAAGAAACTGGCTACTTTTCTTCGGGGTCTTTTTACCCCAACTGCCTAGCCAATTTCTACCTCCTTTTTTTTTTTTTTTTTTTTTGGTCTTTTTGAGACAGGGTCTCCCTGTAGCCCCAGCTGTCCTGGAACTCACTATGTAGACCAGGCTGGCCTTGAACTCACAGAGATCTGCCTGACTCTGCCTCCTGAGTGCTGGGATCAAAGGCGTGCACCACCATGCCCGGCTCTACCTCCCATTTTTATCACACCATCTTCTGAAGAGGTTACCCAAATTGCCAATAGGGAATCAGGACACAGACCGCTCTGGCTTCTTCCAGGCTGAACAGAGACTCAGGGTGGGGCAATTGGGGTACGCCAATCTGGTTTTTTGTTTGTTTGTTTGTTTGTTTGAAGCAGGGTCTCCCTGTAGCCCCAGCTGTCCTGGAACTCACCATGTAGACCAGGCTGGCCATGAACTCAGAGATCTGCCTGCCTCTGCCTCCCAAATGATGGGACTATAGGCGTGAAATCTGGTATTTTTAATTACCATGTGCCATGTAGATAAAACTTGGGCAAAAACCAAACACTTTTAAACAAACCTTGATGAGACATTCTTAAACTAGTTTACTAAACTATGACCTTAGAAATTTTAAGATTATTTACATATTACCTTTGTCTCATCCTTGACAGATCATTAATAGACCATCATCATTTTGCTAGGCTCTTTTATTTTTATCTTTAACATATAAAACCTTTTTAATAAAATATCTCCACTTTTATGTCTTTTTTAACATCTTTTACATTTTTTTAATAACCGTGAGACATAATAACATTAACAAGTAAATTTTTTTATCTGTTGTGAGAATTTTTTCCCTGAGGATACTAACCAATATTTATTACCTTTTTAGGTTGTAGTATCAAGCCAATGTTTGATTACATTAAAGTTTTTTAGGGAGGAACCAATAAATTTATTGAGCTTAGTTACAGAGACAACTGAGGGGTTGCTGAGGTATATGAGTGACCTGAGAGTATGTATACTGGAAAGCCTTAACCCAGCATGGATCAAGCCTTTTCTTCTTAGCCTTCCCCAGATAATATACTTTAGTCCTCCCCAAACCCAGGAGCCCATATGTGATTAGGGCCAAATTACATACAGTTGGCTGGGAAGAGGCTGGATACTCAGGTGAGGGTCCAATGACCTGCTTACCCCTCCTCCTTTAATTAAAGAATATGATACTTAAGTCAACAAGTACATGCTGTGTTTTATAAGTTCCCAGGTAAACCTTATAAAAATCATTTTTTACCTTATGTAGTTTAGAGAGTGGTCTACCCAAACCTTGCTTTAGGTTTGAAAGCAACTGGTAGAAAGTTAAACATTATTAAATTGATGTTTATAATCTCCAGTATAATCAGTTTAGGAAAATTGTGATGTTTTAATTACTGACTGAGGAATTCTAGGTAGAAGATCTTCTCTGTCCTCTCCATTGACCATGAATTGTCCTCTTTTCAAAAAAGATCTATTCTGTTGTTCTTTCATTAAGTAGTTACTTTAATCTTTCTATTTACTATACATTTTATATTAGTCTGTGTTAGTGACTTTACTCAGTATTGTGACCAAATAGAGAATCCCATTAGCTACTTTTAGTACAGACAGTAATACTCTCTGTTGAAATTATTTTACACCTTAGCTGTTCTCAACAGCACAGTGCCTTTACTCTTAGGCTGTCTTCTTGTTCTCTTTTTTCTTGTCACAGGGTCATGGGCCAGCCTGAACCTGGAAAAGAGTCTTGGAGAACACATCTTGAGATAATAGGCTTGAGTCTGAAGTGGGAGGGCCAATCCCATCTTCAGAGTCAGCTTCTCAGTGAGCTCAAACAGCACATGACAATATACCAACATAATTAATACAAAAAGGCATCTGTTTCTCTTTGGTCTAAAAGTTTTAAATTGTTTATCCATATTTTACTTTTAAACTAAAGGCAAGACTGTTAACTCGTATGGCAAATTCCTTTGAAGAGGGTTGTCAGTCTGGATTGGAAAAAACATTTTATAATTTATTATACATAGTCTTGGATTAAGTACCCATAACCTGGAGAACAAGGATCGCAGAAAACAACTGTGCCTAAAAGAACTCGCAAAGACAGTAAGACAATACTCTTTCCCTTTAGTCTGTCCCTGCCACTGTAACTAGAAAGTACCCAGGGAATGATGGGGCAGGAACAAAAGCAAGCATAGGGCACCTGAGCATCAGAGAGAGAAATACTCTGTTTCAGAGGAAAACAGGCTTACAATCACAATGCAGAAAAGGGAGGGATTGGGACCGGTGGAGCCTTAAGCCTCCCACCCAAGTCCGTGATCCCTTTATCCCGCCCATTGTTGTAACTATGTGTCGGTAGTAGTTTGTGTCTGGTAAGGTTTGGCCCTGGAATACAGCAAATTTCCATGAGCTTCCCAGGTCTAGCCATCACAACGTTTCAGTTTCCTTTGTATCTGGACAGTCTTGAAGGCATATGGCTAGAAAAACCTTAAGTTTCCTTTAGAAGCTGAAAAATATTTTACGTAAAACAATTTAAAATATTTACTTTTAGAAATCAGCAAATACCATATAAAAGATGTTTAAATCTAAATAATAATTTTTTGAAAACTACCAGGTAAAGATGTCATGTAAACATTTCTTTTAAAAATCAATAAATGTTCCTTGTACACCCTTCCCTCCCCCCTCCCTTCACCTAAC